ATTTGGAGGGCGTGACAGGCGAGTTCATTGATTTTGTATCAGCTGAGTTGATGTAGTCTCTCTCCTACACTTCATTTTTACATCTTCATTTTCAGCGGTTTGACCGTTATTCCATTTCAATAGACATACTTATCATACTCGCGGCTTAATCTTATTTTGATATTGAACTTTGGAGTTTGAGACTTTGAGTACCTACTTTTGAATAAGCATTCAAAATCTGTTCGTATGGCTGGCGATTATTGTTCTGATTTTTAATACTGTAACGCATGTCCCCAAAAGTCCCTCATTTATAAAATTTTGCAATTGTAGAGTTCTGGATGCCACCCATAAAGATTTATATGGAAATGTCATAAACCGATTTTATATTTTAAAGGTAAATTCCAAGTAAAACAATTTAATTTACACAATAAGAATTAAAAATTATACAATAGGAATCTTTCCTGAACTTTGATGATATTCTAATTCGAGGTCTCAACAAAAGACTGTTTTCTACCTACTACAGCCCATCTTTTTGACCCCTTATCAAAAGATGCGAATGGAAAGGGGGGAGGGGGATGGAAATGGGTGGGGGGGGGGGGGTTATTCTTTATGGTACTCTAATGAAAGGTCTCAACGAAAGGATTTAATTTCTACCAACCTTCTCCTCGACCCCTCATAGTGGTTGGATATAATTCCTTATATCTCAACACCAGATTGTCGGAGGAGGGTACTCACAAAGGCAAAATGAATTGTCTGGAAGAGACATATCTTTTGGTGAAGTCGAAGCGGATATGTAGGAAACGAAGTGTAGAAAGGGTGTCTTTATAAAGGGTAAATGGAACGCCAGGATAAGACATATCTACTGGTGATGTCAAAATGTTCACTTCAAATATGTAGGTGTCTCTAGAACGGAGTGTCAGAGGAGGTATTCTCAAAGGGCGGAAAGATCGTCTAGACGAGACACATTTACTGGCAATGTAAAAACTGAATTGTGAAAAATGCAATATTTCGGATCGATAAATACAGCATGTTACTACCTTGAAACCCATACCATTTACTAAGCTATTTCAATATGCGCTTTATCTGCACAGGAGTTGTGCACAATTTAGAATTGTGTCGATCTTCTTTTTTTTTTATTAAAAAATTTTTTTTACAATGTTTTGTATTTGTATCAGTTCAATCCTCAAACGAGGATAGTCCTTTTTTCAAAAATGGCTTTATCAAAAGTTCAAAGTTTAATTGCTTAGTATTTTGGGCGTTAATGGGTTAATAATTCAAACTAGTAATGTTCAAATAGAAAAGTCTCTTTTTTTTTATAGATTACTCAGTATATCGCGTAAATTTTTACTGGGAATTAATACATCCGTAACTCAGCACCGAGTGTATACAGAAATCTCTCGGAATGACCCACATAATTTCTTACTGATTAATGAACGTTTACAAAATGTCGTCTTGTCGACAAAATCGGACATTTTTAATCGTTGATTCGGTTGTTTAAAATTTCAAAAACTTCAACTTTACTTCTCTCCATAAAATTCCTTTCACATTTATTTCCCCTAGTTTCCGAAATTCTCATTGTCTGCACACTTAACCCCCCTCCCCAAGTATCCCAAAAAAGGAACAATTTTTGTGCCTCAATTGCGCACGATTTGGGACTTTTTGGTTTAAGAAATGTTTCGAAAATTTAAATGAGGGCTAAGTGAATGCCCCCCAAAATTAAGCTTTTTCATAATGAAACGACGGTATTGCAATGGTACTCCACTTGTGTTTAGTTGTTCAATTATGCTTAATTGTGTTTTTATGGTCATGGTTCGCACTTTTTTGATTTCGCAAACAGGTTGACAAATTTCCCAAAATTAAACTTCTTCATACCTAAACAATGGTCTTACATAATATTTCGATCGTTTTAAATGCCCCTTTTTTTAACCCGAACATATTGAAAAAAGAAAAAAACAATCAGGTCAACACGTATTCTCTGCATTTTTCCTCCGTCGTTATATTGCAAAGTTTTAACTCGTTGAACAATTACTTGTCTTCAGTGAATAAGTTTTCACCACTGTATACAGAAAGTTTTGACTATAAAAAAGTTAAATTTTGGAGAGGGGGGGGGGGGCTAAGCGCCTATTTGATTTTTTCAAATATTTCCGATACTAAAAAGGTACAGAGTATGAGCATAAAACTACGATCGAAGCACGAAGCACTATACAGGGTCATTCTTGACGAGCGTCAGTTAGAAAGATATGGAAAACCTTTGAAAATGAAAATAAACTGATAAGCCCTTTAAGGGTTTTGGCACATGATGAATTGAACTAAAATATTTTCAAAATGGCGCCACTTCCGGAAATACCGGAAGTAGCCATCAACTTTGTTATTTTAAATTCTACATTTTCGGATTCTACGTCGAATTTGGAGTACAACGATACCCCATAGTTGACCCTTTGCTCCAAGGGCTTCGCCGATATTCAAGTTTTTGTGTCAAAAATTGAATTTGCGGGGATAACTTTAAAAATTTATTATTCGAAAACGGTGAGAGATATTGCAAAATAGTTTTCAATGCTTTATTTAGGAAAGATCGAATTTTCTTATGGTATGCGTAAGAGTCTAAAAAAGTGAGACTACGTCACTTTTTCAAAGCTCTCAACTTTTAAACTTTTAAATATCCGTAACTCCATTTTTTCAAATGGCACCCCCCATTTTGTTCTTCACCCTTGTTTTCCTTTTTCCCAGACCTTTAATTTGATGCAAAATGTCAAAAGCTGCTCCAAACGGTTTCCGAGATATTCCATGTTTTAGTTACTTCTTGTGGAAAGTTGATAAAAAAATTAAGTCGCTTGATGTTATTCTTTTGTTTTTATTATGATAATGTTTAAACGTCAAATTTTCGCTGCTTGAACTTATACTTCTCAATTTCTCGTTGGATATCATTGAGCGATGCAGTTGGATTTGCAGCAAAATACGCCAGTAGGTACAGTTATTTCTTGTTCTTCAGAGTCTACCACAGGCTTCCTTTTTTGTATTTTTGTTTGAAAGATACCGTTATTCCTGAAATTTTGTAGTAATTTGCGAATTGTAGCCTCTGTGGGTTGCGCCTTGTCAGGGTATCTTTCGGAAAAAAGACGACAAGTCCTGGCAGCTATTCGATTACATTAACCGTGTATTAATATTAAATTCAAAAAATCTTCATTAGTGTAACCCAAACGAGCTATTATTGACGAGAAGTATAAGTTCAAGCAGAGAAAATTTGACGTTTAAACATTATCATAATAAAAACAAAAGAATAACATCAAGCGACTTAATTTTTTTATCAACTTTCGACAAGAAGTAACTAAAACATGGAATATCTCGGAAACCGTTTGGAGCAGCTTTTGACATTTCGCATCAAATTAAAGGTCTGGGAAAAAGGAAAACAAGGGTGAAGCACAAAATGGGGGGTGCCATTTGAAAAAATGGAGTTACGGATATTTAAAAGTTTAAAAGTTGAGAGCTTTGAAAAAGTGACGTAGTCTCACTTTTTTAGACTCTTACGCATACCATTTGAAAATTCGGTCTTTCCTTAATAAATCATTGAAAGCTATTTTGCAATATCTCTCACCGTTTTCGAATAATAAATTTTTAAAGTTATCCCTGCAAATTCAATTTTTGACACAAAAACTTAAATATCCGCGAAGTCATTGGAGCAAAGGGTCAACTATGGGGTATCGTTGTACTCCAAATTCGACGTAGAATCCGAAAATGTAGAAAAAATAGGGGGTCCCTATTTAAAATAACAAAGTTGATGGCTACTTCCGGTATTTCCGGAAGTGGCGCCATTTTGAAAATATTTTAGTTCAATTCATCATGTATCAAAATCCTTAAAGGGCTTATCAGTTTAGCTTAATTTTCAAAGGTTTTCCATATCTTTCTAACTGACGCTCGTCAAGAATGACCCTGTATACGATACCGTCGTTTCAGCAGTTTCAATAAAAAGTTTAATTGTTAGGCTAAATGAAAGCTTGGCCTCCATTTGAATTTTAGAAATACTTGTAAAACCAAAAACGCACAAACCGTGAGTATAATGTACAGTAGAGGCGCAGTAGAAAAAATTTCTTATTTTTGGGCTGGTATATACGCCCTTAAAATTTTTGCACTCAATTCTGAATCAAATAAAATTTAATAAAATTAAATAAAGTATATTAGATTCTTATTATCTCTCCTCTACCAATCCAACCCACTATACATATACTATACACTATACAATCTGTTAAATGAAATGGTTGAAAACGTTTAAGTCATAGCGAATAAGCGAAATAGAAAGTTTGTGGATTTCGTAAAAAATACAAAAGTAAATACGTTTTGAAAGGATCTAAACAATTTTGAATTTCTGATACTAAATATGGAACTTGAAATTTTCCAAGCCTGTTGAACTTGGCTTGGATATAAGAACCCGATTTTTATTTCAAGGAGCTTATTTCAGAATTTCAGTAAATAAATCCGACAAATTCGTAGGTTCCTTTAATGTTTCGTGACGAAAATGGCGAATACAATTTTTTTAGGCGTAGTATATCTATATACTAGAGATACCTCCTATGAGCCTGCATTAGTCTAGCAAAATGTAGAGATGCTAAATAATACCATTGAATAAAAATAGTGTTTTTATTCAATGATAATACATAAAATTAAAAAAGGTCTGCATCGAACGGGAATCGAACCCAGCCCACCCGCTTGGTAGCTACAACTTTTAGGATTAAGACGAACGACGACGACGACGGCTATACTTTGTTTCACTGGTGCTGAACCTGACGTCATAAATGTGATTCTCTCTTCATTACATTTAAATCGATTGAGACAAAAAAATTACGTCATTAACGTAAGTCGTGACAAATAAACCAATTATTGATCTGTCAATAATATCAATCCGTCAAACGATTTTCGTTATAGACAGATTTCCAGTGTTAAATGCCTTTTGATTAGGTAGTTTGTGTTAAAAGTGAAGTAAATATCATCAAAGTTGAAAACGCTTAGGCAAGTCCACAGTGCAGCAACGCCGTTAACAGACAAGTATTTTAAAAATTTTACATAAACGTTCGATACGCTCATATCATGAATTTAGGTCATTACCGTTACAATTAAGTAAATATGACGAACCGATACACAGAAGGTGAGCAAAGTTTGATTTTAAAGTTGATTCAGTACTTCCAAGGGGAAAAAGAAGCAGGCAAAACTTTAACACCCGTAAGCGCAGTATATGATGTAAGTGTTACCTATGCGTTTGCTATAATCATATGCTTACTTAATCACAGAGGGTTTGTGCTGCCCTGGGTGTATCGTTGTGGACTGTAAAAAGAATTAGTACAAGAGGTGTTAAAAAAGATGACGATTACAAATCGCAAAAAAGTGTGGCTATTAGTTTATCTCACGGACCTCCGCTGCATGAAATAAATACATGAACATGTAATAAGGACACGGATTTATGCAATGTATGCCACAGGTAAATAACATTCTTTATGTTCTAAGGGAAGATTTGCTTCAAATGAAGACGTTCGCGAGAACACTTATGGATTGATTTTATAGGTGAGAATGTTACACTCCGTTCTTTACACAGTAATCTTCAACGACTTGATGGCGTAGAAATATCTGCTACCTCTTTATCCCGCAGTTTGAAGAAACTGAAATTCACGTGGCGGAGATGCACCGTTTCTAATAGATTATTTAATGGAACAGCTCTATGTAGCTCAAAGAAGACTACAATTTTTGAGAGACTTTAAACACAACGAAACTTCACTTTTTCCATTACGACCTGTGGTTTTAGACGAAACCTGGATATACAGTAAAGGGTCTTTTAGAAGAAGCTGGCAAGATGGTACTCTCAAAACAGTTAGAAAAAAAAGTGGTGAAGGGGTCCGGTATATAATACTCCATGCAGGATCAGAAGATGGATTTGTACCAAACGCAAGTCTAATTTTTAAATCTGGTAGCAAGTCCGGAGACTATCATGACTCCATGAATTGCCTTAACTTTGAGAAGTGGTTTGAACAACAATTGATCCCGAACTTGGATGAACCTTCTCTTATAATTATGGACAACGCTTCTTACCATTCAGGATTGGTAGAAAAAAGTCCAAATCAATGCTGGACAAAAATGTCACTTATAAAGTGGCTAACATCACGAGACATTACATTTGCACCAACAATGATGCAAGATCAGATCTGGGAAGTAGTGAAAAATCATATACCACCAAAACTATTTAGGTAGGCATCGCTGATAATTTTGGTTGCAGTTAGGTAGACCTTTGGATAGGAAGCTGATTGTTATGGTTTTTTTTCACTCCATGTTGATTTTTACAGATTGAACGAATTAGCATTACAACATGGTCATCGTGTTTTGAGACTTCCTCCATATCACTGCGAGTATAATCCAATCGAAATGGTATGGTCAGAATGCAAACGGCATTACGATGCAAGGATCGGTTCAATTCAGCCTGTCACACACAGTGCCGTTTTGTCTTTATGGAATGAGGCACTGCACAAAGTAACCTCTTTATATGCTGTTTTGTGAAACAGTAGTACTTAATAACTTTATTGTTTAGGTTACACCGGAAAAATGGAAAAGATATTTTGATCATACAGAAGCATTATAAACCAGGCCTAGGAACGGGAACAACATATTGATACATTACGACATCTTACCGGTGATTGTCAACTTGGACGAATCTGATAGTGACGAAGATTATTATGATGATTATATTCATGAGGCAGAAGAGAATCAGCGTGTTTAAGAATATTATTTTGGGCCGTTTATACATATATACCTACTTGTGGTGTAGTGTCGTTTTTTTCTTTTGTACATACGATTTGAATATGAACATTTGAGAGTTTTTTCAGGAATAAATATCTTCACTACCTGTTTTCTCTCACAATTGCGTTTTTTTTTAATAAATCGGAACAGTAGATATTCAAGATCCTTATGCGAATATCTCGAGTGTGTGGCAAAAGAACAGAAACTGTATGTATGCGTTGTTATTTCAATGAGCCTGTGGTATAATGCCTACGCTTTATCTCAAATTTGTAAGATATATAAATGCGAAAGGCTTACCGATAAACCATGGCCTATTCTACTTCTGCAAATGGCTAGTTAAGAGTCATTAAAATTCGCGCAACTTAACGTGTATTCTTCACATTGGTAGCATGCTTAATTTCACATCAACATTATGTAAACAAAATATTAATTTACGAACTGCCTAAACAAACTTTAAGTTACAAATGTTCCTATTTGTTTTCTGTAACCATCATACACTTCATCTCAAAGAGTTTCTGATGCTCTGGCAGTATCCATTTCGACTGTCGTCGGTGCAAAGAATCGGTTACATGAGGTGATTACAAACGGTGGAAAAAGTTTAATCTCGAGTTTAATTCATACCAACGGAGTTCCTCTACATAAAATACATGACCATTTAGCCATTATAAAACCTGGGGACAGGAAAAACCTATCAGGACCAGATGCCGTACAAGTGATTGTCAACTTGGACAGTCTGATAATAATGAACGATAGTGACACCTTAATAAATAAGTTGAAACGTCAATGTGACAATATGTAAACCAACTACTAATTTACGACCTGCCTTAATTTTGCTATGACGTCAGATAGTGTGACGAAAGGTTCAGCACCCTTGAAACAAAGTATAGCATCTTAATAGATGGATGTTCGATGTAAAATTTTTATTTGGGCTAGCCGTCGGTCGGCACAAGAATAATTAATTTTATTTTCATAAAGAAATTGCGATTTTCGTTTCTAAATGCAAAATTTGATTCAAGAAGGAAATCGAATCGTCTTTCAAAGACGCTTATACTTTGCTACTATTATTAAGGATCCTCAGATCCTTTATAGTTTTGTATTGTCGTCCGTCCGTCCGTCCGTCCGTCCGTCCGTGTGCGCTCTAACTCTTTTTAAAAGTGGCCGATTGTGTTGAAATTTGGTATACGGGTACGTTGGACATTAAGAACGGACGCTATTGATTTTCAGGAAGCTGGTTCAACAGGAACAAAAGTTATACGACTTCGAGTGAATCGGGAACAGGAAAAACTGCGAACTCAATATAATAAAAATTAACATATTTCATTCCCTAGGTCATGTATCGAGTTCGGACTTTCGCTAGATTATTCCCTATGACTCTTAGATGTGTAACAATTCAATATAACTCTTCTCTGTGGTCTCGGTCAAAAGTTTTAGAGCAAAATGTACCCAAAATTATTCTTTACACATGAATTTAGAGTTGTAAAAGCTTTCAAACGCATTATCTTGATGCTGAAAGAGTTGATAACGTGCACGTTTGATAACCGCATGTGTGTGATTCAAAAATGTTAAATTATTTTTCTGAGGCCACATGGATTTTGATCAAAATATGTCAAAATCGTTAATTATGCACCAAGATCGTTGGGAAAAAGACTACGCGCATTATCTCAATGCCCAAGACATGAATTTGATGCATTTTTGGCGACCACGTGGATTTTGATCAAAACATGTCAAAATCGTTATTTATGCACCAAGATCGTTGGGAAAAGACTAGGCGCATTATCTCAATGCCCAAGACATGAATTTGGTGCATTTTTGGCGACCACGTGGATTTTGATCAAAACATGTCAAAATCGTTATTTATGCACCAAGAGCGTTGGGAAAAAGACTAAGCGCATTATCTCAATGCCCAAGACATGAATTTGATGAATTTTTGGCGAAAACGTGGATTTTGATCAAAACATGTCAAAATCGTTATTTATGCACCAAGATCGTTGGGAAAAAGATCAAGAGCATTATCTCAATGATCTAAACATGAATTTGATCTATTTTTATGGACCACATGGATTTTGATCAAAACATGTCAAAATCGTTATTTATGCACCAAGATCGTTGGGAAAAAAACCAAGAGCATTATCTCAAAGCCCAAGACATGAATTTGATGCATTTTTGTTAACTATAAAATGTATTTTGTAAGATTAAAATAAATTGTCGTTAAAAGTGATTGTAATACTGAGGATCCTTCGATATTTCGTTGTATCGGTTTATTATTATAGTGCGAGTCTAATAAGTCTGGAACTATCAATAAATCATTTAGTAAACGTTTTTAAAAAAATCCCCGAAGTTGTCAATTTTTATCTTAAATGAGACATATTTTACTTGTAATTATCGTCACTTACGGATCGTCTTTTGTTTTTGAGATATGACGTAAGCGATAATTTTGTAAAATGGAAACCTTTGTTTTATTCTGAATACGCTAAGAGCATCAAATTCTAAGACCAAATAGGCAAATACGCTATAGGTAAAAGTATGATACTGTATTTTGAAATATTCGACATAATTGCTTTTAAAGTTTTAAAACATTAATAATAATGAATTATTGCTTACGTCATATTCCAAAAACAAAAGACGATCCTTAACTGACAATTACAGTAAAATAGCTAACATTGACGTGTTCGAGGAATTTTTTCAAAAACATTTACTAAATGAATTATTGATAGTTCCAGACCTTACACTCGCACTGTATTTAGTAAACTATAGTCAACAGTTTTTATTTAGAGAACGACTCTTTTGCTTTGATTTTTGAGAACCAAGTTTATTGATTTATCAAGAACTATTGTGGATCCTTTCAGAACTCTAAAAGTTTCACTTTTGACGCAATAAAGGGGAAGAAGTACATACAGTTGGCGTCCATATTGTAAAAATTGCCATTTGTATGGCTTAATTATCCGAACTTTTTTCTAAAATTTATCAAGTACAGTAAAAGTTACAATTGCAACATTTTATAAATCAACGCATGTGCCGCATAATGATCCTAAACAGAAACTGTACCTACCCGGTGCGGTAAACAATTAAACATAACAAGTTTCATTCCAATAGACGTTACATATTTTATTTCTGATCTAGACCAGTGTTTCTCAACGGGGTCATGACGTATTTCTTGGGGTCCACAAACGAAAGACAGAGTATTGGTAGGAATGGTAGGACACGTAAACTTTCCAGTGGGCCACGAAAATTCACTTCTCCAAAAATGGTCAGTACACAAATTATACCACAATAACCCCTTATCCTTGTTTGTGTTATCTCAGTGTACCTTCCCTAGAAAACAATAAACCGTAATCACAACTTTAATTGTTTGTAAATGGCAAACGCACAATGCAATTGATAGAAACGATACCGGAAAATGTTTGTTATTTTTTTCTAACACGACTAACACCTCTCTACCGCCCACCAGGATTAGTTTTTCTACAACTTTCAAAGACAAGCACTTTTTTTTAAATTTCAGCGTCAAAACAAAATGAGCTTGAAAATAGTTTCTTGGTAACTAAAAAATAACTCAAATTAATTTTGATCTAATCTAAAATGTTAAAATATTGAAATACCACATTTAATGGCTTACATTCTACTTATACATTTTTGTACAGTCGGAGAGTAAGGCGTAAATGAGTCTAAAAACACGTATAAAGCTACTGAAATTTCCAAAATTTCTCGGGGTATGACCACCACCGGGTCTAACGTAGAGGGGGGCCACAGAGATAAATAACATTCAGAAGTAGGCCATCAGTAAAAAAAAGTTGAGAAACACTGATCTAGACGATCTAGTAGCAACATGTCATTGTTTGAGATTATAGATGCATGTTTGTTTGTAATAACGATTTTGTTCCTGGCAACACGGCTTGCCATTTTGCAACTGTGCAACACATGACCCCCAAAACGGAACAATTTTTGAAGAATTTTGCAACGATATTTAGGTACTATATTGTAACCAACATGCGTCATACATAGGTACGGAAGTCACGTAACAGATTAATTATGAATGGATGAAAAATCTTCCCCTTCTTTTTCAGTTGTTTCTAAACATGCATTTTGATATTTTTTTATTCATTATAGACACAATTTCGATAAATCTAAGCGAAAGTGGTGTGGGCGGATGGTGACTTAGGGTTCGGATTTTTTGAAACCCTCTGGGTATCGGTCACTGTAATATTGAGAGGGGGCAGATTTTTTTTATTGCCACCTGGCGTCTCAAGTTATTCATACCTAATGTTACCATTTTTCCTCCCCCACCCATACAGATAAATGCCATTCCTACACAATACACTCATAAATTCAAATACGTTTTGGTAAAAACTAAGAACCTTTTCGAATTTAAAGCACCGCCTCTAAATAGGCGACGGCGGCGCACGTGGGCAACATACCGCAATTTATTGTTATTATAAGCGCCTTATACGTTTTCCATTAACAAAATTTGTTTACGTTTATTTCTGTTATAATTTTCGACAGTGGGACCGACGTTTATTTATAGCAAACCCCGTCCGTTTCTGGTATTCTGTTTTCTGAATCAGGTTTTTATAGAATTCGCCAACACGCCGACGACAATTTATTGGCGGTTACCAATCCAAACAGTAGGTAAGTACCTCCTGAAAAACGCACGCAAATAACGATGACAAGGGGAAGAGTGGCATCATTATCAATTCACTTTCATTTTGAACGAACATAAAAATAGAATTTTAGGCGTGGCTCATCCGATCATTCCAGTGGTCCGAGTGACAGGAATGAATAATAATAAGCGATTTTACTTTCGTATCTACAAATAGCATGTATACCAACGGCGAGACGAAGACAATAGTGATCTTTTTAATTCAATGCAAATGTGAAGCTTTTA